ATTAAAAAGCGCTAGAGGTTGAATTGCTATATCTTGAACATCTTTGAATCTTATTGTCGAGAGACAGTGCCTAATATCAGTTTTTGAAGGTGAAGCAGATGTAAGAGTGTCGCATTGGTAATACTCTGATCTGCCTTCATTATACCCTCCAGTCATTAGCCTGTGAGGTGTTGACTCGGCAACACACGAAATATCAAAGAAACCAGAGAACTTTCACACGTTTAACCTTTTGTTTATTCTGGCATTGTCAATTTCACTAGCAGCACTACTATTTTACATATCAATACACTCGGGGATCAGGTGATATATAACACCTTTACAAAAGTATGTATTCTAACGCATGCAATAAAATATCTGGGAACATTTGGTTTAGCTAGGATGTTTTTTAATAATTATACTATTTACTTTGAAATTGAAATTGAATTGCAGGTAGTGTCTTTTTTATTAGTTTTTCAAGGGTTTTCTTTCCCCGGAGCGGACTGATGATTCCAAAATCTGGCTGTTATCGGGTTTAGAACTTGTAATTCAAACTGAAGAGGTTTAAGTTCACCTCATGCTTATTTCTATTCTTGTGGGTTTTTTTTTCTTGTGCGGCACGACATGGTAGAACGATAGGGTTGCAGTTGGGTACATGTTGGACACTGTTCATTGTTTCAATGTTTATACAAACACCTGTAACTGGTATGTATGTCTAGATAACTGATTGTATTATTAGTATAGTCAAGCATACGAAATTAATCCAGAAATTGGTATCAAGCGTTACTTATTAATAATATACACGTATCAAGCGTTACGTATATATGATACACACGTATCAAGCGTTACTTTTATACGATACACACGTATCAATCGTTACGTATATATAATATACACGTATCAAGCGTTACTTTTATACGATACACACGTATCAATCGTTACGTATATATAATATACACGTAACAAGCGTTACTTTTATACGATACACACGTATCAATCGTTACGTATATATAATATACACGTAACAAGCGTTACTTATATACGATACTCAAGTATCAAGCGTTACGTATATATAATATACATGTAACAAGCGTCACTTATATATGATACACAAGTATCAATCGTTACTTTTATGATGCACAAGTATCAATCGTTACGTATATATAATACACAAGTATCAAGCATAGCGTATGTATGATACACAAGTATCAAGCGTTACGTATGTATGATACACAAGTATCAAGTGTTACGTACATATGATACACACGTAACAAGCGTTACTTATATATGATACACAAGTATCAAGCGTTACGTATATATAATATACACGTATCACGCTTTACGTATATATGATTATATTATACTGATACAACATTATAAGGCACCAATCAAAACTAAAACCAACTATTATATAAAGCAGTATTTGTGTTAAAAGTAGCAATTCTATGTTATGTTATGTTACAAATCTGTGCCTCTCAGTTATCAAATATTTATCATTCTCAAAATATATATATATTCTGTCAAGCTCGGGTATAAGAGGAAACACAAGGTTTATTTAACTGAATATGTAACAAAATTTCATGAGCAATAATGTGTAACAACAATTAAGTTAAAGCGCGGTAGTCGTCACGCTGCGCATGGGTCTCATATAAACAAAGATGGCGACTTTGACTGTTGAGCAGATCAATGAGTACGAACTGACACGTTTCCGAGCTTTGATTAGGTGATTTTCATGTGATTGGAAGGTATTGAAGGAGTCACCGGCGGTAATCAGTGCAAGTCGCGCCCAGGTCAAACCTCATACTTGTGATTCCATTTGAAGAGCGCATTGGATTGTGGGAAAATCAATGTTTATCAACACAGATGTCGAACATGCGCAGCGCGACGACTACCGCGCTTTATTAATCGTGTGCGACTCACGCAGAAGTTGTACTCACTATTCCCAGCTTGCGACATTTATCTTTATTTAATCATTTGTCTATAAAAGCATTTATAATGTCAGATGGTAAGATTTACTAATTGTGTATTTCAATGATGTATTCATTATAATTGTTTTGTTATGGTGTTTTGATGAGATGCTGTTTGAAACCATCTAATGTTAAGTTTGGAACAATATAAATAGTGTGTTGTTACAAACAATGTTACGATGAAATATTTAGTCCGAGAAAATGTATTTTATTCTAATGACTGCATGTAAATGTAATGCACATTATTGTCACTGTGTCGGGTCCAATTGTCTTTCATTATTGCGTGTGCGTGTGGTGTTCACAATATGAATCCAAAATGTGGAACATAAAATACATGACTAAGCTGGAACTACTCGGGTAGTTCATCAGACCCTGTATTTTGATAATATCTCATCAATCCCTACGACACTCATGGATAGTCAGCAACATCCCAGATTACAGTATCTAAAAAAATATCTCAGATTTGGGGTCGACTATTTAAGTCAACAGGTTATGGGACGAGTATTCGCGACGGTAGCGCCTAAATAAAAAAATCCTGCGAAGAACTTGGTCATACCGACTTCGAAATTTTGATAATTAACGTAGTCCTAAAACAGGGACTTGTGGATTGAGTCCGTGTGTCCGTCCGTATCCATTAAACTTACACACGCCTAGTCTGATCAAGTTCCAATTTTACACATATAAAAGATTTGATAGATTCGTGTGTCGTCGCTGATCAAAATGACCCAAAACACTATTCAAAATGGAACTATTTTCAGTCAGTTGCCAGAAAACAACTGCCTTATAATTGAACAACATTTTTAATATACTTTATCATAAATGAGCTGTCTCGCTACGCATAATTTGTGAAGCAACATACAAAATGGCGACGCTACAAATTAGTTTTATCTACTATAGTCTGAGGTTTTATTATAAAAATGTAAAAGAAAAATAGCCATTAAATCGAACACGTTTCTGTGGAAACAAAAATGACTTTATAGTTTTATCAGGGGGTAAATCTCTTCTCTCGGGGTTCTCCAAAC